ATCACCAGTTGCCCCTGTAGAACCGATCGATTCCATCCACATCATCACATACATGCCGCAATCATATCTGTTACAAAATTTGAAAACCACACATGTCAATTATGATGAATACTGCATAAATTAAGCTTTCTATTTGTGATAACATCTCATACCCATTCAATTGCTTATTCTTCTTATGCTCCACAAATTTGAAATTTTTCAAGGAATACTTTCCTAGAGATCCACAGGACTCAACCCAAATGCGTTTCTTATTATAAGAATCCAATATTTTAATCTGCATTAAAATAGAAGAAGTTATGCACCAAAAAAATTATGCATTATAATTTACATAATGTACTTTCATACATACATACATAACAATCTCTTAGCATCCTTCACTCTCTGTTTAGCTGCTTCAGTTGTAAACATACTATCATATATTGTTACAACATGATCTACCATATCCAACACCAACAGATACCAATGTGAATTATGGTAGTTTATTGTGATCATGATCTGCAACAAATTTCACACCCAATTTGACAAAATTCAACATTCTATATCCGAAAACATCATTTGTAATTGGTATGGTGTCTTACCTTCTCACAGTCGGTGAATTTCACATAGTTATCCAATATGACACCCCAGAAGGTAGAAATACTCTCAACACTTTCTTTGTTGTTGGCTTCCAACGCCTGTTGCTGTAATTACGCAACAAACATTATTAATTTACCGTCTATAACACTACTTTTCAATATTTATTAATTTAACTCACCACTAAGAGGTATGGAAGGTAGCCAATCCTCCGGAGTGACTTTTGAGAATCGTAGCATATGGTCCAGGCGAGCAAATCGATAACCTAACAAAATTAATTACACAATCAGAACATATTCAATAAGTTTTAACATTTTCTACTTTCTACTTACCACACCGCCAACCCATTCCGTAGGCTTCAACGTTGCAACGTCGTATACAGTAGCGAATTGATTTCCCATTGAGATTACAGAATATCTGTATGAATCATTAGGATTAATATGTTGTCATAAAATATTTAAATATCACTCACAAAACAATATATTTCACTTACCCCGATTCTAACTCGCTATTCCATAAATAATCACAAATTGCAGCTTCGATGTCATCAATTCCGCTTGGAATATCCGCTTTTTCAACCTACAATTTTGCATACAAATTTTTGTCACAACAACATAATAAAAATCAAATTAAGTATTCTTTTATTAAACTTACCTTCTGCTTCTTCTTCTGGGGTGCAGGACATTCCGAATCCAAAACTGCTGCTATAACACTCTCCGGTGTATAAATGACATCGACTTCCTTCCTCCTCATTTCTTCCATCTCTTCTTCTTCCTCCTCCCTCTTTTCTTCTTCATATTTTTTCAGTTCATCGTACTTTTTTTCTACATAGCTCTTCATCTCTTTTATTTCACCCTTCAATTGAGCTCCTTCATCCGAGTATTTATCAACCACCCCCTTCACCCCCGTAAGTTCACTCCTCAAATCCACAACCTCCTTCACCACTCCCTCAAATTTTTCTCCCGTCACCATCTTAATATCACCCCTTAACACCCCAACTTCTTTCACCACTTCACCCCTCAACACCTCTACTTCTTTCACCACTCCATCTATTTTTCCTTCCACTACCCCCTTATGCCTCTCGAGTGTATCTTCGACTCTCTCGAGTTTCTCTACGACTTGATCAAGTTTCTCTTCGACTCTTGATTATCTTTGCATGATTTCAAATTGGAATTTTTTGAAATCAGCCAATTCAGACATCAAAATGTCGAAGTTACTCTGTTTTGCTTCACCGTCGTCCCACTCACCGTCATCCCCAATACAACCATCCCTCCTTTCTTCTCCTCTGCCTCCACTGCCTCCTCTACATCCTTGCCAATAACCTTCAAAATTAAATTACAATATTAAGACATGATTATATTCTTAATATTATTTAATTACATTTATTACCATTTCTTGCTTCTTCCCTCTATCCAACTTCAACTTCACCATCACTCTAACCACCTCTTCCTTCCCCCATGCACGGATGCGTGCCACTCCGGTTCTTTCATAAGCCGGCACTGCCTCACAGCCCGACCAAAAATCGAACAGTGCAACCTGCATTTATAATAAAATTTATATTTTTATATAAAAACACAAAAAAGTCATTCAACTCATTTACCTCTAAGATTGCTATGCACCCTTTGAGGTATCTCTGGCTGCCCTTTTTAAAGGTGATTATTGATTCAATCAATCTCGAATGGATATATTCAGCCCAATTGAATTCACCCTTCAAGCCTTCATCGCAAATGAGCTTCATATATTCCTTGTTCGTTGACGTATCACCCGTTGGACAAAGAAATATCCCGACAAGGTACAATAGAACTCGGGCCTTCAGCTCATCCCCCCTGTAAGATCCACTTTTGATATCCTCTTCAACTTCAGCATATGTCACCTTATGATTCAAACCATATTTGGAGGCAAGTGCTTTCCAGTTCTTACTCCTACAGACTTCTATAACACTTTTGCCTTTGTTTTGTACCCCCAATACGGCTGCAACAGTCGATACCCCCAGAGGGAATGAATAATCACCATACTTAGCCATACATTGACTGACGTCAAATTGTGCCATCAAGGATCGACACAATTCCCTCCGAATAGGTCGATCCCTTACTCCGATCAACGATCCAAAACCTATTTCTCCCAGCACATTCAACTGACCCTTCTCCTTAAGGTGTTTAATTAATAAATTCACCCTTTTAATGCTGCATCTTGTCGACACTTCTTACATTTTTTAACAATATATAATGTTATAGTTCTTATATATTTGTATCAACGTATTTACAAGTTTAATGAATACCTTATTTTCATGTGCTTTCCTCCGTTCTTTGTATTCTTTACTATCATTCCTTGACTGTGTGATGTAAGGTTCCTTTTCAGCATCACTCATTGAATTCCATTTGGACCTCACATCTTTTTTCACCTAATATTAAACATAAGCGTTTCTTAATCAATACATTAACACTAAATACTAATACTACTCAATGTCAATTTCATTTTACATACCGAACCGCTCTGTGTGCCATCTCCCTTCATCCTTTTGCATTCGGCCATACTGTTAACATTTAAAATTTGTAATCAATTTAAAGTTTATCGATACTTTAATCCAATTACCATTTCAACAATAATAACAAAAAGACATTGATACTTACTAGAAGTACATATATCCACCCTTTGGTTGCTTTCGAGTCTCGGCCTCAATTTCAAAGTCATCTGCTCCACCAACAATTTTCCAACCCATTGACTCCATTTTTCCTTCATATATCAGTTTACGCAAATCAAATTATTTTGTTACATACACTTTTCAATATACAAATATAGATAACTACTCTTGTGGTAAAACAGTTTTCTTCAAAAGAATTTGAATGGCCACACCAAAATGTGTCGGCACATTTATACAACCTATAATATCATTTTCTACCTATAATATTTAATAAAAGTATCGACATTTATATTTTTCCTTGAATATCTATTTCTACCTGCAATCGGTCCCAAATGCTTCCTTACTCCAAAACCCCAAACAACACATAAAAAACCCTATCGCGATTACTGTAATAATAAAAAATTAGGGTTTCGACAACATACTTTTCGATTCGACTGCAGCAACAAACAAACAAACTTCGCTTTAGAAACGCCTTCTGAAATGCATCAACAATTACTCTTCGATTTCAAAAACTCGTCCGTTCTATCTTTTTTCAGAGGATATTTAGCTATGGCCTTTATATTTTCATCGGATATGTTATTTATATTTAATCGATACAAATACAAAAGTGTCGATACTTTTATGTCAGGTGTCGATACTTTCGAAAGGATAATTACCTGTTTCTTTGAAAGTGTCGATAATTTATTACACGTACTTACGAAAGTATCGACACTTTCAATATATCCGGTATCATTTTACCGGTTTTATCATTTTGATACCGGTTTTATCATATTTTTACCTGTTATATCGTTGTGGATCGATATATTTTTTTAAAGTATCGACACATTATAGGCGCTATAACAGCTTCTCTTTTAAATTCACAAAGTGTCGATCCTTATATAACGTATCGACACTTTTAAATTTACCGGTTTTATCATTTTGTTACCGGTTTTATCATATTTTTACCTGGTATATCGTTTTGGATCGATATATTTTTTAAAAGTATCGACACTTTTTAGGATTTAAAACTGCTTTTAAAGTTATGTAATTTATGTTTCAATTTATTTAATAGTGTTTCATGTTTTTCACCTATAATATTAATTTAATAATTTAATTTACACAAAATTTTATTTGATTGTTTTGATATTTTATAAAATATTATTTAGAATTTAAATTTAACAATATTAACCAAATATAATAATAAATATGTTTTCAACAGTGAAATAAGTATGAACACTTTTATAAAAATGATATATACTTTTTTGAAAGTTATGTAATTTATGTTTCAATTTTTTAAATAGTGTTTCATGTTTTCCACCTACAATATTAATTTAATAATTTCATTTACACAAAAAATTATTTGATTGTTTTGATATTTTATAAAATATTATTTAGATTTTAAATTTAACAATATTAACTAAAGATAATAATAAATATATTTTTACAGTGAAATAAGTATGGACACTTTTTATAAAAAGGATAGATAATTTACAATATAACAGATAAAAATATGACAAACCCAGATTCATTATGACAAAACCGGTAAAATTTACTTGATATGTTAAAAGTATGAACACTTTTATAAAAATGATAGATACTTACCGATAACCAAAGTTTACCGGTTACCAAATTTTTTAATAGTTTTTCATATTTTCTACCTAAAACATTATTAGTTGTCAACATAATAGGTACCGCTAAACCGAATTTATTAAATACATTTTAATATATCTGGTAATACTATATATTAACCGTATATTAACCCGGACATCCCCTTTCTCTTCTTACAGTGGTAAGAGTTACCATAGCACAGAGAGAGAAAAAGAACAAAACATGCTCGGTTTGGTGTCACTTCATCCCTTCCTACTTCTGTCCTTCAAACCACCTTAAAGCTTAAGATCCCCCTCCCCACTTTCTCTTCAAGTTTCTTCCTTTTCTGCAAAGTTCTTAGTGTCTTATTCCCTCACCCCATTTTTTTAATTACCATCTATCTAAATCTACCATTTCCTTTAGCCCCTTCAAGGATAGAACATAGTAAAACCAAGTTTCCTTTAACTAGACTTAGCTCTAGATTCTTCACTGACCCTTGATTTCTCTTTTTCTGAGTTTATCTTCTTTTTAGCTTGAAATTCACACTTCTTGGGTTCCATTTAAAGCAAGAATTAAACTTTGCCCACATGTTTGGTGTTGTTTTCCTCCATCAAGTCTTTTAACTTGTTCAGACATGTTTGCTTGATCAAAATCTTTATTTTTTTGTACTCTCTTGCACTTAATTTTAGTTAAAAGTTTCAATTTTTTTGGGGGAAAAGAGAAAAATGGATCCTATGGTTTCACATTTTTTAGTTCTTCTAACACTAATCTTTCTCGTTCTAAACCAAACCCTCCATGCTTTGAGTTATTCTTCTGCAACAATAATACCTATGAGTTGTACGGACACGTCGAGATTATGCACGTCTTTTTTGGCTTTTAAACCACAGGAGAACCAAACTCCGGCTGTGATCCAGAGCATGTTCGATGTTATACCACAAGACATAACAGTCGAAGGAGAGGGTAAACATGATTACATATTCATCAAAAAGAACTGTTCTTGCTTGACAAACCCCAAGAATTATGCAGCAAACACAACCTTTACAGTGAGATCAAATCAAGGGTATGTTTATGACATGGTTTTGGAGGCTTATGATGGGCTTGCAATTGTTCCAAATGTTAGCAGGCCGGCAAGGATTGGAGCTGTGGTGTCTTTGAGGCTCTTTTGTGGGTGTTCAAGTGGGCTGTGGAACTACTTGTTGAGTTATGTGATGAAAGATGGGGACAGTGTGCAATCTTTAGCTAGTAGATTTGGGGTTAGCATGGATAGTATTGAGCAAGTTAATGGGATTCAAAATCCTGATGATGTCACTGTCGGTGCTTTGTATTATGTTCCATTGAATTCAGGTTTGCCTCAAAAAGACCATTCTCTTTCTTTGTGAGGTTTTTAATTTATGGATTTGCATGAAGAATGCTATTTGTTTGAAAATATGCATATTCAATTGCTTTTCAAGAGATGGCTGTTAATGATTTTGATGATATTTTCATAGTTTATGAAAATTCTGCAAGTTTTTTTTAACATAGGGGTTAATTCAGTTAGTAAAATGATCTTTTACCCATAGTTTATCCATAGCTGGGTATGCTAAAGACTAAATCTTGCTATCAGTTCTGCTTTGGCTTGTTTGATTGAAAGTTTAGCATTGGGGATAAGGTTTTTTCATTCGGCTAATCGGAAATGAAGTAAGTTTGGGATGCTAGTCTATAGCTAGGTATGCTAAGACCTAAATCTTGCTATCATATCTGCTTTGGCTTGTGTGATTTAAAGTTTAGCATCGAGGATAAGGTTTTGTCGTTCGGCTAATCGGAAATGGAGTAAGTTTGGGATGCTGATAAGATAACTTGATGCTAATCGGTGAATTCATTTCACTTTTAGAGTCTGAACCTACTTGGTTTCTATCTGAATTCTTGATGTGAAGTTTGAGGCAAGGTGCTAATATCACATCAATGTATATATACCAACAAAATCGAACTAATGAAATCAGTAATGCGTTCATACATATTCTATTTGTATATCTGTGACTAGAATTTATTAGTAACGTTGTTTCATCATCCATTTCCTTGAATTGTAAGGCTATTAGTTGGTGTTTTTGCATTATGTCTTTTGTGTTGTTTGCAACTCCCATCGCATATAGGGAGTAGTCGTTTTTCTTGTAAATTTTGTTGGTTTCACATATTGTTTGGTTCCTGTATTACGGCAGAAAGATCATAGACTATAGCTTGTCATATATATTGCAGTTCCTGGTGAACCATATCATGTGGAGAATGACATTCCCTCGGCACCTGTTCCTACACCATCAGCTGACACACTTTCAGGTATGAATTGGTTAATCTAAGTGAAGTAATTAAAACTATATTAACTCAGACAGGTGTTAGCAGATATGTGATCAACATGGATCTGGTCGACCTTTTTCTGTCTTCATGTATTTGGATGGTCCTTGGAGGCCCTTATTCCCACACCTATATCCGAGTCTGTTTCTAAGTGACATAAAATAGTAGCTGGCAACCATAAATAAACGCCATGATTTGCTGTATACTGCATGTCAAAATAATAGTTGTTTTCTTGATTTTGTGTACGAAATATAATATACTTCTAATTTTATGCAGAAATTCAAGTAAATCCTAAGGGCCATGTGCCTTACGGATTGATCATTGGCGGTTTGAGTGTTGGCCTTGCCCTCATTATATTAAGCATTGTAGTTTGTGTTTCCTTGAGATCCTCAAGCTGCTTTGGTGAAGCTCCAGGAGTTCATGCCAAAGATTGTGATGCCAAGAGTTCACACAAGTTCCACATTCTTCGGAAGCCAAGTTTCTGTTGTGGTTCAGGAAGATACGTTGGCGGCAAGTCCGAGAATTGGAACCAAACCAAAGGCGAATCTAATAACCACCAGATTACTATCCCTAAAGGTTATTGCACTGTGATTTCTTAGTTACTTTCACTTCTATTTGTTGCTAGCTGAAATCCTGGCAAGGAACTATGCATATCATACTAAACAGAGTAGATTAATTAATAAAAAAATGATAGCTTGCCACCATGACTTATCCGAAACTCTGAAAGTCAACTTTGGTTTCTCTTGTTTTCTTTTTCTTTTTTCTTTGTCTTCTCTGTCAGCTCTAGTAACAGATGTACTTGATGTTAATAAGCCTGTGGTTTTCACTTACGAAGAGATTCTTTTTTCGACTAATGGATTCTCGGATTCTAATCTTCTTGGACATGGAACCTATGGCTCTGTGTATTTTGGTTTCCTTCATGACCAGGTTTGTTCGGTTCTATTTCGGGATTTAGATTAGATGACCTGAATAGATTAACATCCCATTAAGTTTTGTTTATTTGATTCTTTTAGGAGGTTGCTATCAAAAGAATGACTGCCACAAAGACGAAAGAATTCATGTCGGAGATGAAAATCTTGTGCAAGGTTCATCATGCAAATCTGGTAATGCTTTTAGTATGATAAGAAATAGTTTAAATCCCGAAATTACGAAGCTTTCTTCCAACTGTTCAAAGCCACTGACTCCTGTTTCGGTTTAATTTTGTCGAAGGTAGAGTTGATCGGCTATGCTGCAAGTGATAATGAGCTCTTCCTTATTTATGAATATGCTCTAAAGGGTTCCCTCAGAAACCATTTACATGATCCCTTGAACAAAGGTAGAATTATAGCAGTGCTCTTCAGTTATAATTTATTTAATTTTTTAAGAATGAACTATCATGACATTTACCAGCTAGTAGTTCTAAAATGAACCGAATGTTATAAATAAAGGTGTCGGATCATTCATAACCATAATGTATTTACGATGCCGATAGCAGACGCCCACAATGAATAAGCTTCTAAACCATTTCTCGAAAAGTTTTCATTGTGAGGGGAAGGTATTCTCATTATCCCGACGTCCCATGTCTTGTGCCGAACAGAATGACCCCGCATATATTTTGAGAATTTCGACTCCGGGCTCAGTTAGTTGGCGAATGTCTCCCGTGTTATGTCTTTGTTGAGTTTTGAAATTCGTTTTCTTATTACTCTGTGAATGTTTACTGGCTTGAAGGTTATACACCACTTTCGTGGATAATGAGGGTTCAGATTGCACTCGGTGCCGCTAGAGGCCTGGAGTACATCCATGAGTACACTAAAGCTCATTATGTTCACCGAGATATCAAGTCGAGCAACATTTTGCTCGATGGTTCTTTCAAGGCAAAGGTTCTAATTACGTTAAATGTTGCTGCTTCCTTTTTTAAGTGTGTTTGAGAACATTTTACTGACTTCTATTTTCGGATTAGATTTCAGATTTTGGATTGTCAAAGCTTGTTAGAAAAACACATGATGAAGAAGCAACAGCAACAAAAGTTGTTGGTACATTTGGTTATTTTGCACCAGAGTAAGTAATGTTTTATTGTTCTGTCACTCTGCTTCTTCAATTTTCTTGAAGTACCCACTTTAAGTATGTGTTTCCGGAACGTATTGCGATTAAGAGTAAGGGGATATGACCTTCCAGAGACTCGTATTGAGCACTCAGTATCCAGATCGAGTGATACAGATATATCAGTTTGCTACTCTTTCGCTAAATATTCTTTTAAACTCCTTTAACTGTCACATTTGGTTTTCTTATAGATATTTGAGCGATGGACTTGCATCGTCGAAAAGCGATGTGTATGCATTTGGTGTTGTGCTGTTTGAGATCATATCTGGAAAGGAGGCCATCATACGAACCGAAGGCACCACGACAAAAAATATCGAAAGACGTTCATTGGCATCCATTGTTAGTCCGTTGTAGCACGTTCTAAGATGTTAAATGCTCCTTCATCTTGTCTTGTATTAATGCTAGTACCTTATTATATTTGCAATTTTGCAGATGTTAGCAGCTCTTCGGAACACATCAGACTCAATGAGCGTGTCGAACATGGATTATATCGATCCGAACATGCTGGATCTTTTTCCTCATGATTGTGTCTTGAAGGTAAATATCATTTCCATATTAGACCTCCAAAAGCTATAAAATGAGTAGTTAGGACTCAAACTAGCGTTCTGGTTATGTATTGATTTGCTTATTAGGTGGCTATGCTGGCAAAGCAATGCGTGGATGAGGATCCGATTGTACGACCCGACGTGAAACAAGTGGTGATCAACTTGTCACAGATCCTTTTGTCATCGGTCGAGTGGGAAGCAACGCTGGCCGGGAACAGCCAAGTATTTAGTGGTTTGGTCCAAGGAAGATAGTTATAGAGTTGTGTTAAATGATACTCCAAGGGAGACAAAACAGTAATATATCAATATGTTGGTATTTGGACAGCATCCTTACATTTTGATGTAAAATGCCATTAACAAGAATTTTGAGTTAGCTCTTGTTTGCATTTGATTAATTAGTAAAAAATTGTATTCATTTTGTGGACAAAATTAGTAGATAACTCATTTGAAGGAAAAAATATTATAAAAAAGTAGATATATATGTCAGGAATACAAGGGGGATGTGACTTCACAAATAACTCAAAATGTTCTTTAGGCTTGCCATTCATTTTAAGCATCACTCAGAGAAATCATCCTCACCTCCACTGTACTGATCGACATCTTGATGTCGCGAAAGCTTCCGTGGTCTCCCAAGCCCATCTTCGGCATCCAACCTTCCTATCTTCCAGCACAAAATACCATCCCTCATGTTGGAATAAGCCTGTGTACCGGGAAAAGTGAAAGATGTAACATTTGGACATACAACGCTTCAAAGACCTTCCAAATATATGGGAAAACTTCAAAAATTTTGAACAAATACCCATATCCAACATTACAACCAAATCGTGTAACATTAACTTGTGATCATACCTCTGGCTCTTTAAGTTCTATTGCAGCAACTGTTTTTTTTTGATAGGAATATTGCAGCAACTGTTGATCTCCTCCTTGCAGTAATTCTGGAAGGCATAGGAAAATGTTCGATCTCATCCCCTGTTCTTCCTTCTCTGGCCCTCTTTTTTCTTAAATTAAGCTTCGTCGGAAGAGGCTGCAGCATGAGACTGTGTTACCATAATGGACTAATTCAATAATTTCTGCCAAAAATGGATCGAAAAGGATGTAAATTTTGATCAAATGTATACCACATAGTGAGCTTCTCCTTCATCGAATGAAACAAGGTATGTTGTTGGGTCATTTGCATCATCACCCCGTACCTGTAAAAGAGTTGGAAATATTTTTTAGAGCATTTAAGTGAGTTAGCTCCAGCTTGTGCAAAGTAACACTGAAAATCAGGTTACATACATCCCAATGGTATTCGCGAACCCAAGAATATGAGATATCTTCAAGCTCATCATACATATCCTTCGAAAGCTGCATCATTAAAAGTGAAAATTAAATAGTAATTCATTTAGGAAGTTAGAATCAACAGATTGGAAGTTAGGGTGTATAACAGAAACTGCAGTGCTAATGGATATATGATATCTTCAAGCTCATCATACATATCCTTCGAAAGCTGCATCATTAAAAGTGAAAATTAAATAGTAATTCATTTAGGAAGTTAGAATCAACAGATTGGAAGTTAGGGTGTATAACAGAAACTGCAGTGCTAATGGATATATGATATGTTGAATCCAAGGAATATCTACCTCACCAACAGAAGGCACCATGTATGCCAAAAATTTCTCAGGATTGGCCAGATCCGAGCTTGGTGCCACATAACTCTTCATAATGGCCTACAATTATAAAATGCACACAACAGAGAAAAATCAAGACCCATACCAGATGAAATAAATATATGCACCAGAAGCCATTATGTCCCACTGCCTATGGGGTAATAAAATAATACAAGTCTTTCCTTTAATTTGCAAACAATACCATAAAATTAAAGCAATTGCCTAAAATAACTATATGCATAACACATCACAATGACAACGATTGAAATCTCAAGTTCTATATAATCAATGTTTTCTGCATGTATGAGAGACCAAAAAGGGGAGTAAAAACAAAGCAGACAGCCCTGAATAATTCCATACCTATCAAAATCAGGTAAGAGAGGTATAACTTCGATTGGTTCCAAGTTTTTATTGGTTGCATGGACAGGACGTAACTTGGATGCCTCAAAAGATGACTCAATTTCTTTTATTTGTCTTTCCCTGATAAAATTGCCAACATTTTTAGTGTTATTTTTTCAGATCTGCTTCAAATAAGAATTTATCTTCAGAGAGGGAGATTGGAATAAGACAAACCTATTATTAAGGTTCTCCAAAAGATTGCGGCCTCCCTTAAGTTCTCGCAGTTCTTTAGCTTGATTTTCAGTCAAAGACTGCAAGTGCCAATGTATTAGTTTTGACTCAGCTTCCAAAAATCATCATGGAGAACACCAAATATGAACACACTAATCAGCAATTACCAGTTTTGTTGATTCCATACTAAGTGGAGAAATGTACTGTGTTTTAACAAGCCAAGAAACACCTTTTTCAGTGGGTCTTTCTTTTCGTCTTATGCCATCTTTCTTAACAGGGGTTAAAGTTACATCATCACCCAAGAGTTCCTCATCTTCTGGGGCAAGAGGTTGTCTAACACTAGGACGACTAATCAAACAACGAGAAAATGGGTAATAAAAAACACAGCACCAAAAAGCAAAGGTAAAAGTAAAACTTTTACGCGGCTACGGTATGATACTTGTATACACTGAGGTCAAGCAAATCAAGTGGTATCCCGAGATCTGGCTCAACAAAAAGTTTAGGCTTGTACATTTTCTCCAAAGAAATGATAGTGTACTTTGTAAACCTGTGAGAAAGAAGTACAGATTAACAAGAAATATCACAAAGGGAATGAATCCTGACATCATGGCCAAAGAGTACAACGAACTTTTAAGTTTAAACTTTTACAAGTGCAACAATTTTTTCTCCACAGAGAACACTAACAAGAGATATAACTTCACCAAGAAGAAAGTCAAAAGAGAAAGGGTAAATACATTCAATCAGACATCCAAAACAATATATTGGATCCTGGAGTTATAAGAATAAGAAAATACAGCACCTTTCTTTGAAGGAGGCATAATTGGCTTGTGCTCTCAACTTCCAATCCCCTGATTAGAATGACCATGTTCAAGCCGTCCAGAACCCGAAAAATCCCTATTTCCACCTTTACCACGCTCAGTTAACCTCGTGTCCCCAGCACTCTCCTTTGGAGGAGGCGGTGGAGGAGAACTAGGAGAAGGTGGTGGAGGGATTGAAGAGCCAGGAGAACTTGGGGGTGGTGGCGGAGGAGGTGGCTGCATTGCTGTATTGCTATACTGTGAAGAGTACTGTGAAGGTGGATAGTACATTGGTGGCTGTGAGTTGAAGGTATTCTGTGACATTGTGGGCAAAGGAGGGCATGCGGGAGGGGGATAGGAAGAATCCGGAGGCGGAGGAGGTGATGGATATGAATATTTCTGCTGTGGAGGCGGTGGTTGTTGCTGTTGTTGTGGCGGTGGTCTTGAAGGAGGGTAATGGTAATTCGGTTTCAGATTCATCTGATTGTAATTTTGATCATAATGTTGTTGGGGCGGAAGAGGATTTTGATTTGGTGGTGGTGGTGGTGCTGGAGGAAAGCATTGTGGAGGGAATGGCCTATAGGAGGCCATTGTTCTTTGTTTCTTTTATTCCCTTGACCAAAGTATCAAAAACCAGAGATAAATGAAAAAAAAAAGAAGCCCGAAAAAGGGATAGTACAAGAAAAACGAGATTTTGAATTGAATTCTGGTTTTCTTTCTCTCTGCAGAAATTAATCCAAAAATCGGAAAACCTTGAACTGGGTAGCCACTCGAATTTGAAACCTCCTATTTTTCTTACAATGAAAAAAACCCTAGAAGAATAAATTCCGAAACCTTGAAATCCTAATTTCCGAAATTCAGCCGAAGTAGCTAAAACCCTAGCAAAATCATCCGCCAAAATCTACAATTTAACCAGGTTGAGAGAAAAACAAAAGTGAGAAGAAAGCGTGACAGGAGAAGGCAAAGATTTGAACTCAGGAATCGATAAACCCTAAGAAAGAGATGAAGGCTGAATTGGAATCTAACCTGAAAATACGTGGAAGAACACAGCTCCAACCAAATATGTGAAGAAGGAAAACTATCAATCTCAAAATCCCAACTAATTGAATATATATATATTTACAGCTATAAGCGAAAACAGAAAAGAAGCTTGCCGGAATGGTAAAGGGGAGAGTACGTATGCTCTTTTATTCGGCTGACTAATTTCCCCTTGTTTTAATTTTTTTTTAAATCCGATCAATTTCATCCAACTTTACTTGTAGATTCAAACCGATACACAAATTTGGGTTTTGACCCAAATTAATAACTGCATAACTATTTTATTTACATTCGCCGTATTTGAATTCGTGATTTTTTTTAAAATAATAATAATTTTTTTAATTATTGAAGTAAGTTGGTTCGTATAATTAATAAGTTAAATTTAAATCCTTAATTAGATAAATATAATTAAATCTTAGAGTTAAATTCATATAATAAAATATATATATATATATATATATATCTATTGACAAATTACGTAAATTCGACTTTGAATAAGTTTTTGATTTTCTCATTAGTATTTGACAATCATATTTTGATAATTAACGTTATTGATTTTTATATTTTAATCACCCATTTATTACTTACATTTAATAAAGAAATATATAATACATTAATAAAAAGACTAATGTTTAATTGACATTCAATTATAGATAAAATATTAATTTTATATTTTTATACATTGTAATTATAATTTTAAAATTTTCTAAAAACGCTAGGGTATAAGAATTAAGAAGCTCTCACCTTAAAATAAACAATTATACTTTTTTTTTTTTACATTTAAGTAAATTCTTAAACTAATATGACCAAAACCTTTTCTTTGGAAAGTTTAAGTATTTATTTAATTTTGAAGAAAATATTATTAATTTTTTAAATAAATTAAAATATTTAAATATTTAAAAATAATAAATAAATATTTTAAAAACTAAAAAAATTATTAAAAGAATATTTCAAAAATATTCAAGAGAGTATTAAAATATTAAAAATTATTTATCAGACAAGTCTTAGCTCTTATCATTCATCGAACATTTTTTTTAATAAAATCAATATTATATTTGAACAATTATTTTTAATAAGATTTCTTACTTCGTTTCGAAATTAATAGTGTAGAGATTATACTTAAATGGTGCAATGTGCTCGTAACTCAAACTCATAATATTGTCACCCAAACTTAGCAAGCATGATTTAAAAGAAAATTGAATACATTAATTAAAATATTTTTGTCATTTAATCAATGACTATCCCTTGTTCCCATATTTAATTTAATCAATGTAAACTATATATCAAAATATCATACTAATAATTCTTTTTATAAATCTTTAAAATTCATTCGTTTACATAAAGTTTTAAATAAATAAAATACATCAATAATAATGTTATCTAAATTTTTATCTTTAGAGATGAATCAGGATGGAACAGTATGGCAAAAAAGAATCAGGATTTATTTTGTGGGCATCATAACAATTATTTGAAATATCAATTTAGCTAGAAAGGAAATGTTAGCATGTGCATTCTGACCATGGAAGCCTTCAAATAAATGCTGAAATGTAGAGTTTTAAATCAAATATCTCTGTTCACTAGGTATGGGCATGGGTTGGGTTTTTGGTCCACCCGACCCGACCCGAGATAAAAGAATCCTCCACCCGAGATCTGACCTGACCCGACCCGACCAAAATAAGATTTCACATGATCCGAACCCGACCCGATATATAACTTAAAAACCCAACTCGACCCGAAATAATAAAAAATATTATTTTTATTCAATAAAAACAGTGAATTGAAAAAATAATATATAGATGAGTATTATTGTAATTATTCCTAAATATATAAGGTAAAATTATAATTTTTTTTCTGGTTGGGTCGGGTCTGGGTATTTTTCACCCTAAACCCGAACCCAACCCGACCCAAACATCATATTTAAAAACCCGACCCGACCCCGAGATTTTTTTAAAATAACCTGACCCGATCGGGTTGGGTCGAAACCTATCGGGTTCGGGTTCCATGCCCATCCCTACTGCTCATCGATAGTATATGGCTAAAAATCTAAAATACGCATAATCTATGGAACTATTAAACTATTCCAATGCCTCTACAAACTGACAATGACAAAAGTGATCTGTCCAATAAGAAACTTGATATCATAAAAGGTAAATAATTCCTCTTTTCCAAAAATAGTTTAACCAGGTATTGATACAACAAATGCACAATCAAAACAAACTTCTAAAATATCAAAAACCAAAAATGAGAAGGAAACAGGACATCATGGCCAAGAATTCCAATCCACACTCATCCACAACTAACAAACCACACACTGAACTGTGACAAACATAAGATTCTTACCGGGGGGTATCTGGTTTACTACGCATATATGGAAATGTCCTTGGCCTATCCTGGTAAGGCCCCAGATTACCATTCTCGACGTCATCTCCCATCATCATGGCACTAGCAGAGTTCACCCTCCGGGCAACTGGAAAAGGGTACTCCCTAGTCTGGGGCAAATCACCCCCTGAATTTGGTCGCTGAATTTTGAATGCTTTAGTCTGTATGGTGAAGGATTATACTTTTACCAGACATACAAAATAATCAACTTCTTCATTAACAACTGATGTGATTTAGGTTCAATAGCTTCTATTCTTGCCTCACTTGCCTAGTTGCCTTACCTCTAAAATTCAAGATCCGATACAATATTCTGGTTCAAGGATTTTTTGACACAAGTTAGTTTCCTGCATAAAGGGCAAATAAAAGATTTATTGGTTAATAAACAGACAAAAATTGCAAAGATTTAAGGTTTAAGTAAATTAAACCCGAGCCACCACTTTGGTGATGAAAAAGTGAATAAGATGCTTTGGAGCAGATAATTGGAAAAATGTTCTTAATTCACAGCACTGCCAACTATATAAATCGAATATCTTGAGTACATAGGCCTAGAAATGTGATCATGGAAATACTTTACATTGATCAGAAGAAATTCTAACATTGTAATTATGCAATTTAAGCTCACATTGCCTATAGTAAATATTTAGCAGCAAAAGCCCTGCATGACTGTCTCTGAGTAGGGGGGAAAATCCAAACGCATAAAAATGTGGCAAAGCAATTGCAAAGACTAAAAAATCTAAGAAACAAGAAAACTCTCACCAGTTTTACTGAAAATGAACATCTAAATAATAAATCTTTAAAAATATCAGATTACTGTGTCCAGAAGTTGAATACAATACTATTCAAGTTATGCTAGGTGGAAGGATGGGATGGAAAAGAGGAGAGATGGATTTTTTTTAATACAATGGTTAGGCTTAGGCTATGAAGGTGATAATAAAACCCAGGCACTTAATCACTAGATTGGTATTTCTTTCTTCACTCTACCTGAATATAAAACATCTTACAAGATTAGATCCACCGAATATTATTTTGATCTCCAATTAACTGTCTCATTTCCCCGATTGCATTAACATGAGATATTCGATAAAAAGTGCATGATGCTGCAAAAGGCCATTAGAAACTAATAAATCATAAAAAAAAATGAATTAGATGGTTTTCAACCCACCCATTTGCAAGAATCAAACATTATTTTGTTCCATTTTGGCCTACCATAAGACTAAAACACATTCTGCTCAAATTAAAATAATTTTTGTTCAGCATTCCAAATCATGAATTTTTCTCCTTTATGTTTCCTTCCCTTTTTGGGACCTTTCGGACTATAGTATTGGAAATAATAATAATAATAAAAAAAAACGAAAGTTAATCCGAGTAAACCAACCAGCAAGTTTTCAATTATCTAAGGCTCCAAAGAGTTATCATTCCCGATATTTCATCAACAGAACGACGGGAATGGAGAGGCCTCCTATGAAACATAAGAACATAAGATCCAAATTTGAAACTCCAGTGTATTCTACGATTTGATCTCGAAAATAATCAATCAGATCTATAAGAAAAACTAAAAGATTACACATACCGTGTTCAATGGCCGCGGCCAAACCAAGTAATTGCCATTAACGAGGTAACAAAACTTTAACGCTCTTCCTCCCTATATCTGCGAAAACCGAAAATTTGCAGAGTTATTAATTTTTCACCGTGAAAGAAGAAATTTATGTTTTTCTTTTCCGCTGTAATTTTTTTCGGATTAATAGGTAAATGACCCTGAACTATAATCAATTTCCGTTTTGACACTTAAGATATTTTTCTTCAAAGGCTAAAATACATTTCAAGTTATTCAATTATGTATGTTATAACAAATGGGTCAATTGTTTTCTAAACATTATAATTTAGTCACTCAACTAAGAATTTATTACAGATCATTTGGTATTAAATATTAGACAAAATAGTGGTTTGGCCTAGTAAATAATAACTTTAGTCCTTAAAACCTATACATTCTATCGTTTTGATCTTAATGAAATGATTTGATAAATCTAACCTTTCACGTTTAAAATTTTTATATATTCTTCTAAAAGCATTATATTACTTTAATTTTATTATACATTCTATCATTTTGATTTTAATGATTTTATCAATTTAATTATTTTAAGTTAAAACCAAACTGGTAGAATATACAAGTTTTGGTGACTAAAACTATTATTATACCAAGACACATTAAACCTTTTTTTTCCAATTGTAATGATCAACGACTGATTTGTAATAATATTTTATTTGTGTGATTAAATTTCAATTTTAAAGAAAAAGTGGTTCGTTTGTTACCAAAACTAACCTATAATTGAGTGACGTGTGCTTTATTTTATTTCCTTTCAAAAGTGAAATTTACTTTGTCCGACTATTTTTTACCTATGTTAAAAATGGGCTTAAAGCATAATTTATCCGCTAAATTATACATATTTTAGCTTCTTACCCCTAAAAATTCATTTTAATTTCTCATGTTCCAACATTTTTTTTAAATTAATTTAGTGTCTAAATAAATATTTGTAATGTTTTTAAAGGTTAATTTCCACCCCTTAAAATCATGCAAAACCAATGTTAACATAAAAATGATTTTTGCCTTGGATTTTCAAACTAAAATGACAAATTAATCGAAATAAAATATAACAATAAATTTCAATATCCACATACTATGGTGACATTTATTCATTAACCCATAAATCTAGATAGAATGATTTAATGTGAGTCGGATCTTGATAAATATTCTTGAAAGATCAACTAAATTTGGTCAACCCCATAGTTCAAAACAGAACCCAAATTATGTGCTAATGCTAATAATATAAAAGCCCTAGAAACTATTACGACATGGTTTTTCTGACCTGACAAACACCCAGAAAGAAAATTTGCAGAGGTAAAACATCCAACATGATTCAATCGTCTTTTATCTTGTTGGGGGGGTAACCCAAAAAAGCAGCCACTAATTTCCTCTTAAATGGCTTCGGTTAAGTATACAACATTCGTAATTATCTTCAATTCATGCATTGGAAGAACCTTAGAAGAGATCAATCTCAGCTTCATCCCCTTTATAACGAAAAGGGTGCATATAGCAGCAACCTTACCGATCATCTTCTACGTGCAGCAGAACTCGGCCCACGCTGGACTGCACCAGCTGATGGCTGTCCTTGAGCAGGTGCCTGGCCGCTAGCTTGTTCCTCGGGCATATTCATTGCTTGAGTTACGGCATTCATGACGATGAGTCCCAAAGGGATCAAATACATCCACTGATATGCATAAAATTCAATCATATCACAAGGAGAAATTTTGAAGTGAAGGCCAACTAAACAATTAGATTATGTCAATTTGACTACTCACATATTTAGCCCAAAAAGGCCTTTCAGGTGGCTGCACAACTTCACCTTCTGCATTCTCATCACCGAGAATTTCTTCTGTAAATACAGGAGCCCTACATGATAGATTAAAACATTGTTAATGCCATGGCAAGTTAAATTGCTACACCATAAATAACACAAAACATGTAACTTTCCAAAATAACTACTTGAACATTCAAATATATTCTGATAAAATTTTACACCATGCATTCCAAAAGTGCAGATAGAATATAACTTTGTAAAGTATTATTTTCTCCATCAAAATACACTTGAAGTAGCAAGTAATTTTGATAGTATCAAACAATGACTTGATGTTAAGGAAACATAAATGGACTAATTATTTCACTTGGACTCCAAGTCTTAACACTGCAGAAAACCGACAAGATGGAGAGATGCAAATAAAATATCCTGTTTTCAAGGAATAATAATTCTGTTTTAAAAGAAAAGTTAGTCCAGCATACCTTGGTGCCTGCTCACTGTTCTTTAAAACTGTATGTGAATTGAAGGACCACTTTGCAGGCTGAAATATAAAGATTATAAAATGCAAAATAGAGGATTATTATTACCCAATCAAAATTTGCCAAGACAAAGAATCTCCTTTTATCTTCTACGAGGTTACGATTTTATCAATATGTTCATATTGACCTTTCATTTTATGGAACAACTTGATGCAAGTCTATGGAACTCAAACATACATGCTGAAGTTACAGTTCAAATCAATTTGTGAGTCTAGATGGTTGATCAGCATACATACAGGTGTCAAATGTAAAACCCTCCTTGATAAATTGGAATATATTGATGACAGAAACAAGTCATCTCAAATAGCAACTAATACAGAGTCATCTATATCCAAGTTAGACTTCATAAAATCAACTCCATAAGTTAGCTAGATGTTGTTGTCTTGGTACATCCTTTAAGCATTCACTTTTCCTCCTTAATACCATCAATTTTTCTTTCAGTAATATCATCACTAATATCACTCTCTCCCCCCTCCCCCTCTCTTCTTTCTTTTGCTTAGCAGTGTAAATTTTTTTTCCAAGTAAAATAAAGATTCCTACTTTGTTGGAAGAAAATGAACCAAAAAAAAAAACAATGTTTCTATGTAAACTAACATAAAATCATAGAGAAACAATCACACAAAAAGGTATATATATATATATAGTTATAGTTATAGTTATAGTTATTAATTACGTTGCTTTGACACTTTACTTTTATCAAGGAACCGTTTTTTCATGCTTCTCCTTTTTAAGCTTTATAAGTCTTGAAAAGCATTCATTGATGCAAGTGCCACTAGCATTCCCCAAACAATTATAGGGAAGAGGCTATAGTTTCTACATTATGCTCTGCCACGGGATGATATGCAAAACTAAGAACTTAACCCTGACTTACAAATTTCAAATTCCGAGGATAAGGGCAAGACCCAGGAGAGCCATAATTGACAGCCAAAACATTTACACCCTCCTGCATGCAAAATAATTAAAAAGAAAGGAAAAATATTAACAATTGGCTGCACAGTTAAATCCACATTAATCAAGAAATTCATTCCAGAACTAGTAATTTACATATCGTCCAAACATTCCAAGTAGAAAATATGATCAACAATTGTGCACGAGTATAACCATAAAATTAAAGAACAAATAAAAGGAGACACCAGGTTGTCATGGTTTAATGTTCTCATAAAATTTACTTTATGCTGCCTGTAAATTTTGTTTAGTTCTTGTATAGGTAATATGCACGTAGAAGCAGTAAAAGCCATAAAAATAAAGCACAGTTAACGAAGGGTCCAAAGGGAAATTTCTCATGTCAGAAGTTCACTTCTAAAGCTGACTGCACGTTTACCATAAATTATGTTTCAATAATAAGTTATCAAATACTATTTAAATAGAAAGTAAATATGGCACACAAACTAGTATGTCCCGTAGGCATATATATGCAACAAACTCAAGTTGAGACAAAAACCAAACTATATGTCAATAAATAGTTACTTTTTGAAAGAACTACAAACGGTTGTTACTTTTTGTTACTCATTGAATACATCGCACACGAGCACAGGATAGATGCAGACATTCAAAGGGGAGAGCGATGAGAATAGTGTATTACCATGTGTATTACAAAATGCTCATCCAAACCTTCTCTCAGAAGGCATCGCTGCAGTTAAACAAATCGTGAGAACTATATAAACTACAAAGAAAAGAAATAAACAGTAGACATAAAAAAACTGGCATCTAACTGAATATGATAAAAGTGATCCCCTTCTCTCGGGGGAATTCTCCAAACTACAGCATCAACTGTTGATTCTACGTTGTCCTCCTCAATATGACCATATGACAATTAAGCTCAAATTCACCTTTTATCAGCATACTTCACAAATTGTTGCGCACTTTTCAGGCAAAATAAAGTGCATCAAAAAGGGATTGAAAGAAGACAATAGGAAGAACAATGGAGAAAAAAGAAACGCGTTTTATAACTATCCTATGTCAGTTAATTCTGATATCATAGTTTACAGAAGTATTTATAAAAAAGGTGTTAAGATTTAACAGCTATTGATTCAAAAAGCTTCATTCACAATCACATCCTATTAGAGATTTCAGCATAAGAGAAGAAGTCAAACCCTGAATAACTGCATATCTATGCAGAGCAGTTAAGCCTTGGAAGTTTCTTCTAGATGATTTTAATCCCCCACCCCACAACACAAAAAAAGCACCAATATTCCCAATACAAAGCACATTAAACAGCAATATTAGATATCCAAATAAGCAAGCTAAATCAAAGAGGCATAACTTACTGCTTTCACTGATGAAATAACAAAATCCCTCCCAGGTGGACTCAAAGCCTTAGACGGGAGTCTTATCCTATAGAAGTCATCACTTTTGAGCAGGTTCTGTAAGAACAGATAATTAAAACCAAAAGCACCATAAAATGGTCACTCACTTAAAAACAGAGAACGTAAATTAGAAGTTAGATAAGGTATGATTACTTTGAACTTCTCCTTATTCTCATCAGTGAAACTGTTCCTTGAAAATCGTAGCTTCGTAAGAGTCTGCCAATAAGAACTAGTCTAATTAAAATCTACTAGAGCGCTTCCAAACGAAAATAGAAAAATGTGTCACTTCAAGGTTATAGGTATTTGAGTCATTTCAAACTTTCAGTAAACTATCATTTGCTTCACTTGTTACTGAAAATGGAGGAACAAAGGAGCAATGGATGTATTATTTTATTATTCTCCACAACAGATTATAAATTTTTTTGGTATAGCCAACAGAAGATGACACCACTTACCTAGGCCTCTTATTAGCAATACTAATCTCACGATTTACATAATGAATTTTCTCAAATTTGATGGCCTTCGGGAGTAGCAGTTTTACATAGCCAAGCTGCTAAAAAAATCAAAAAGTAAAGACCTTAAGATTCAGTATATGATCCTCTCTAATTTTCATCATATTTCCAACAACAGTCTGATATCAACTTTTAAGATTTAGAACAAAAACGAAGTACTAATTGAATCACTTAGCCACTTATTTTCACTGATCTCAGGGGTCTTTTTTTTTTATCGAGGATACATACCAAATGTGCCAAATGCTAAGGCTAAATGTTGAGATTTCCCAACTACATCAATTACATTACCTTAACCATTATGCTTTTATTTGGTTGAATTTTGGGAAAATATAATGAAGGAATAACCCATTGAATATGTTGTGTCCGTATTAAAATAAGTTATGGAGAAGCATAAATTTCACATCTTAAATATGACATGAAATTTCACAGTGAACAAAAACAAAGACAAGACAGTTGTTGACACATTGTTCTCTTAATTTTGTTCATTTATATTGCCATTTCGTAAAGAAAATAACACTTGAGATATGTTCAACATGCATCATTCTGTTAAGTTTGTCCACATTTGAGTCAAGATTAAATTACAACGTCAAAATTCAAGGAAATAGAGTAAAGTGACAAAATTAGGCCAACACAAAAATTCCTAAGGTAGCATAGCAGCGTTCATCTCACAGATTCCATTTTCCTATCCCGTTAATAAAAATGGCCATATTAGCTTGTTGTCTTATAATTCCCTAAAGCAAAATGTGAAGAACTGGTCTTGGCCGTAAAATTAAAAAGCATTATTGACTAACTAAAAATTAACATTGTAATATTATTTCATGAACATTATGAATCATTCTACTTGAATTAAAGAAACTTTATGTTTGGATTCCTATCACAGCCATTTGTCCATATTTACTCCGTTATGATTTAACTTTCAGTAAACCAAAAAAAAAAAAAAATAAATAAGCCCAATTCTAATATGCATACGAAGATTAAAAAACAGTGAACAAAAAGAGAAAATTGCTATAAGAAAATAAAAGGGTTGAAAAACCTGGCCGCCATGGCTCCAAGTTTTGAGGCGGGCGGAGAAAGTGCCGGCGGGAGAGAAATCGGAATCGCCGAAAGCGTGGTCAAGAGAGAACTGGATCTTAGAATCGGAGTCTAGATCCGAATGCCTCTTTCGGGTTACGGGCTGAGATCGAGTGAGGACGGGTTCAGAGGAGCGATGCTGGGGAGAACCCTCGAGACCGAACTCTTCGTCGTCGACGAGGAGCTCATCGGATTGGAACCCGAAGGAAGAGAAGGAGAGGAGTGAGAGTGCGAGGAGGAAAGGTACTATGACTTTGACAGATTTCATTGTTGTTGCCCTCTGCTCTGTTTCCTCACCGCTCTGCCTCCACTAATTAATAGGTGAGGAAAATAAGAAAAAGCAAGACTCGTTTGGTTTCAGGTAGCTTGAGGTCGGATTGGTCTGGCTTTCTTTATCATGCTTAAATATAAACTATGTTTCTAAATTATATAGTTTTTCTTAATTTAGTATATGAATTACTTTTATAATTATTTAAGTATTTAATATTACAAATGTTATTATTTTAGACATTTGTGTTTTAACTACCGATAAAATTTTTTTCAAGTAACACATGTAATAATATGATAATCTTGTAAATCTATTTAAAAAATAAAATATTTTATTTTTAAAAAATCTTAATTTTTTCTAAAATATAAAAAAAATCCCAAACTCCCTCCATGTTTTAATTGAGCTTATGTAGTTATCTTGGTCATGTGAATGTGTAGATTGGATCGAAAGCATGTACCGAATGAATCGACATAGTAAAGAGGATGAATGAAAGTGAAAATGAATTTGCTTTGGACATAAGTAAGGCAAATGTGAGTGCTACTTACTTATTTTATACACGATTGGAGGACGACTTGCGATAAGCTAACCTAAAATGTTCTTGAACAAAATGATTTGTATTATATTATGGTTTTAGCTAAATTATATTTTAAAAGTACTGTTTTGAATTCATTGCTATGAGTGTATATATTTTATGTGAAATACTATAAGTATATGATTTATGTGAATATGTTTTATGGGAATAAATGATAATTTGAATAATGTTATATGAAACACTATGAGTATATGTTCTATGTGAATAAATGATAAGTTGAGTAATGCTATATGAAATGCTATGAATAATTGTTCTATGTGAATAAATAATAAATTTGGTAATGCTATGTGAAATACTATGATTATATGTTTTATGTGAACAAATGATAATTTGAATAATACTATGTGAAATAATTATATGGTTAAAGCCTAAAATATATGTTATGAGAATTAGAGGTATAGTTGGCATGCCAAGAGTCGAGGGTTCTATGCGGTCCTTCGGGGATAATTCTATGTGGTCCTTCGGGACAATTATATGCGGTTCTTCGGGACAAATATATGTGGCACTTCGGTGCATATTCTACGTGGCACTTCGGTGCAAATTTTATACGGCAGTTTCGACTGCAATTATAGTGAACAACCTCAAATTACTCACATACCTTGGGTTCTCAGTGATATATGTTGGGCTAATTAAACAAATGGATATGAATTGAACAATTCTTAGTAGTATATGTTATATGTAGGGGTGTGCAAATCCGGGTACCCGAAACTTCTGGGTCGACGATTTCTCGGCCCGTGTCCCGACCCGGATGTTACGGGTACCCGGTAATCGGGTACCCGGATTTTGCGGGTACCCGGGAATCGGGTACCCGATACCCGGTTTTTAATTTTTTATTTTCAAATTATTAATTTAAAAAAATATATACACAAATTTAAATATTCGAAACTTCGAATTACATACTCTAATATCTGAACATAAAATTTAAAAGTTCGAAATACAAAATATAATAATCCATAATATAAATAATTCATTATATTTTTATATAATTATATATAAAAAATATAAAAAAAAAATAAAAACTAACCGGGTACTCGGGTAACCGGGTACCCGGAAAAACTAGATTTTGTGATCCGGGCCCG